GTTGCATGGGGTTGGGCTGGGGGCGTTTTCTCCCCCCCCGTGCACACGTGCAGAAAGAGGAAGGTTTAACTTTACTGACGCAGGCGTTAGCTCTCTCCACACGCACCCCGCAATGTGAACCCCGCCTTATTCGATCCCTGGGAGAGGATGCTGCCTCCTGCAGGGAATCGGGCTGGGCAGGCTTACCTCAAAAACCTCCCTCCCCCCCCACCTGCATGGCAGGGTCCCCAAGTTGGGGTAACTTGACAGGAGGTTTCTTGATGTGTTGCACCAAACCCAGCCAACAAACTACAGAGCTGCCAAGTTTTGCTCATCCCCAAGTGGGAAGCATTGCAGGAAAATGTTTAGGTTTTTCAGTTTTTACATTGGTGGTGTCAATAAAACAGTAAAAATCCTTCCCCTTAAAAAGAATTTTTGCAAAGGTTTTCAGTGAGATACTTTGAATCTTACTGAAGTGTTTTTCAGACTGTGCTACTTATTAATTCCAAAGCTAATCTTGGAATGAGAGAATCTCCCTTACAAATGGATGCGGTTCACATTTCAGACACTGTTGGGGCGATGGACTTCTCCTCACTCCCAATGTGAGGAGCTTTTTGTAGTTTGACTATATGCTGATTGTTCTTCACAACACTGCACCACTAATGTGAAGGCTTAACATTTGGCACTGGCGCTTTAACTAATACAAATGGGAATAAGGTCCAAAATTTGGATCAGAATTTGTAACTCCTTGAAGTATGAAGTGGTTTAGGTTCTTGTACTAAAGTCATTGCAATTTTATATGGTGGCTTTTTTAATAATAAAGATATAGTTACAATATGTAGAAAGATTAAGGGGAAAATTTACAACTTGTTTGCTTGATATGCATTCTGGCACTGTTTTTTCACAGTAGTATCTTTGAGCCATTAGCGACTCATGTTTGCTGTCTATCAGCATCATGATGCTTTTTCCATAGACTCTAATTTGTGGGCTGTCATGGAGCCACAAATTTACTCTGGGACATTTAATTAGGCTTCTTATTGACCTTCAGCATGCAACTTGTCAAAACAAAAGGGGTAACTAGAACTTTTCGTGATAGAAATGTAGCCGTGTTAGTCTGAACTTTTCGGTAATCTTTCTCTTAGTACAAACCACATATGCATATGTGTTGCATAAACATGACCGTGGGTCTGCTTCTATACACTTTTGTGGCGATCAGTAATAAGAATGCAGCTTGTTTTGAATTATCTGTTCTGCCTCTAATCTGCCTATAATTCAAAGGAGCATAATTAATGTTATATTGACTATATTGCTGTGTGTTTTGTTAATTTTGTGCCCAAATAGAAAAGCATATGTAGTACGACTGTACCACTTGTACTTTACAGTGATTCTTCAACTATTAAGCATGCAACTTATTTTCTGTCTATTTTATTTTCCTCCCCAAAGCCGATATTGGGATCAACACGCTTCACTGTAAATTCTCTACATATCCACAGTTGTCCCTTCTATCTGCATCCCAGGTAACTGTCTTTACAGGGTTTATTTATATAACCTTAGAAAATACTCTTCTAAACATATTTTCATTTTTCTCTGTTAATCTCTCTTCAGAGCAACTTGCATAAGAAAAAACTGGTTAAAATAAAATATAATGGCAGTTTTTACACACTGAAAGCTCTTCTACTAAATTCTGATAAGATCTGGCATTTTATTTAATGTTTTGAAATCTAATATATGAGTTTTAATTACTGTGAGCGTACTTCAGAATTACAGAATATTAATCTAAATGTCACCCCTTTTTAGTTAACTTGTAGTAAAAGAGCATCTCCATTGGGCAAACATCTGTATTTCTATGGCTCCTACTAGCTGTTAATGGCTACAACTACCAGGGAGCTGACTTTTTTTGCTGTTACCTTACCAAATTTCACTATACTTTGTACCTCTGTTCCTTGTTTCCTCCGTGGTATGAGAGGGACTTCACTGAAGCAGGAAATCTGGGATATAATCAACAGCCTATGCCCATATGACTCCATGCCTTTCAGAATGCTCAAGGGGCCAGGGTTGCTGAGTTTCATTCACCTGGGGAGGGCGGGGGAAAAAAAGCCCTCTGCTTGTCTTGGGCCTGTGGGAATTTCTGTAGAGCAACCCAAGGTTCTCACTTCCTCCCAGATGCCAACTACATCACGTCTCTGCACTGCTGGGCCAGAGCACAGGCTTGGGAATTGAACTTTGAATTTTAATTACTAGCCCTGCTGATAAGTTAGCTTTTTTTTTTTAAGTGAGATCACTGCAACAAAAGTTAATACAGCATGTCTAGGGAGCATGTCAGCTGGATCTGCTTAATTCTCAATGTAGTTCAGATGATTCTTATTTTTTTTCTTAAACAGCAATGGCAGCCTCTAGCAGCACCACCAATGAGGAGGAGCGTAGCCTCAGAGAATGTGAACTCTATGTCCAAAAACACAACATCCAGCAGCTTCTGAAGGACTGCATTGTACAGCTATGTACAGTCCGACCCGAGAGACCCATGGCATTCCTCAGGGAATATTTTGAAAGACTGGAGAAGGTATTTATTTTGAAGATTGCTGGGGAGTAGGGGGGAGAATGCAATAACTTGAACTTATTTTAGTCTTTCTCTTTCTTAAAATAAAGACTCTGATTCAGATTTGACCAATATTTATTAGTTATTTAAGTCTGAAACTGAAGCAAAGTATTTATTTGGAAAAGAAAGTGTTTTTCCATAGCTAAATGCCAGTTGCTCCCTAGGGAAAAGCATCCCTACAGTAACCAAAAGTATGCACATATGATGCAGTGAGAGAAACTAGTAAAGAAACAGATTGAAGTTAGATACTGAAAATGAAGTTTGGTGCTGGGATCGGTAGTGGGACATGTATAGCTTGACTTATGTCGACGTAATAAAAATTAAGTTTTTTATGTACAGCTGAAATGTTTTGGTGATGAGCATTCAATATTGAGGTTAATTCATTTTCTATAGTGAGTCATAGGCATAATATTGATTTTGGGGGGGGGGAGTGAGGGGAGAAATAATCCTAGTTGGACTTGTTCATTGAGAACTAACATTGGTGACTTTGGTCTTGTCTCAGTTGGAATACTTGTACCATATTTCAAATGGGTAAACTTGTCTTTGCTTTCTGTCATGAATTTAGTAGTAAATGGCTCGTACATTCTGTCCCAGAGGTAAACTAAGTAATTCTTGCACATACCTTGTGTAAATTACTCTGGGATCCTTGCATATGGAAAGCACCGGGTCAATATGATCCTCACGTTCTGGTGCCCACTTTTGCAATTAAGATTAACCTCACCGAGTGAGTCATTTATTTAAAACCCCTATTTTAAAATCTGAACATCTATAAAATAGCATTTTTATGTAACGTATCTACAGGTTGGACCTCCCTGGTTTGGCACCCTCAGGACCTGACTCATCCCAGATGAGGGATTTTGCTGGACCAAGGGAGGTCATTTCTGGCCCCATGTCCTGACGCCCCACTGGGCTTCCCTGCCCCCCTGGACCATGTACTGGGCTTCCTGGCTCCCAGCCCCTTGGCAGTGCAGTGGGTTCCTGGCTACCAGTTCCCACGGCCCAGGTGGGCCGTATGCTGAGCTCTCAGCCTTCCTGCAGTGTGCTGGGACTCTGGTCCTGTAACATTGGTGGTTCTGCTGGACCATGGATGTTGCCAGGCCAGAAAGACTTGGTTTATAGAGGTGCAATCTGTAGTACTTTCCTGGTTCCTATTACTATATGTGCTATTCTGCATCTGCAACCAATTGTCTCTGCATCTGACTGTTGTCTTTGGTAAGTACTCTGTTGGCTATTACTGTCACTTCAGTTTTATTCTGTTGTCGGCACTGCTCTCATTTGCATTCTGTAAATCCCTATATATGCTTTTCCCTTTATTCTGATTCGCTCTTTCTAATTTCTCCCCTTTCTGCCCAAATCTATAGAAGAGTGTAGGTTGGCAGCATACAAACTGTGGCATCTGTATTACAATGGAATCATCAGACCACTATTTGGTTATTGGATCTAGCAGTGAATGCTGCAGTACAAGCTATTATAGGGCACTCTGGCTAAAGAAAGTCTCTCTTATTTTTGCGGTCCAGCTCCTTATGTCTTTAACATGAATGTGTAGTCGTAAGTCCAAGAACTGTTTCCATTAAATGTCTTTAGCAAGCTACCCAACTCCTGTAAAAAATAAAGTCCACTGATTGTCAGTATGGGATTTGAGTTACTCAAATTACAAGCAGATTCCTAAATTCTGCATTTCAACACATTTTAGTGTAGCTATTTTGAATATTGCAAAATAATTACCTTATTGCATTTACTTCACAGTAGATATCGTGAATAACCACCACCATGAGATGTGAAAGGGGAAAAGACACATTTCTGTGTAGTAGGCTAACATGCAGCAAATACAATATTTAATCTAGCAAAAGAAATTCAAATTCCATGTTAGACAAGAGGTTCTGCTGGCTTTGTATTTAACTGTATGAATTAGGGATGTGAAAGATTAACCGGTTAATTGACACACTCGTAAGCATTAAGCTAAATGGGCAATGCTTACCGGTTCTGGTTAACCGTAGGGGCTGGAGCAGCTGCCTGCCCGGGCAGGGGCTGCTCCAGCCTCGTGGGGCCCACCGCAGGCAGGGGCTGCTCCTGCTGGCTGGAACAACCCTGGCCCCTTGCAAGTTACATGCTGGCTCTCTAGGAGTGGGGCTGGCAGGGGCTGCCAGTTCCTCCCCAGGAGCAGGGCCGGCAGCTCTTCCCAGCTCCATTTCTGGGGAAGTGGCTTCAATGTGGAAGGGGAAGCCTCCTCCCAGGAGCGGGGCCGGTAGCCTCTGCTGGTCTAGCTCCAAGGGAGGCAGTTTCGCAGGGGTTGCTGGTTCTGCTCCTGGGACTGAGGCTTCTGTGTGGCAGAGAAGCTGCCTCCCTGGGAGCTGGGCCTCTAGGGGCTCGTGGCCCTGCTCCCAGGGAGACTTTGCTGCCGGCTCTGCAGTATAACTCTTACTTTAAGCTTTCTGCTGCAGAGCCTGCAGTGCATGTAACTGTTAAGATTTTCAGTGGATACAGGGTTACCTTTTTAACTGACTTTTATATCCCTAGTAGGTATGTGTTGATGTTATAACTCAAGAAGGTTTTTTGTTTCAAATATACTAAGCTGTATTCTGAGTCCATTCCTATAAAAAGTTTGAAAATAGTTCAGTATTTACACTTCCCCCTCAATGGATTTTTTTTTTTGTAAATTTTAATTATGGCGCTTTGTCTTTGATAAAGGACCTTTACTATCAGACAAATCACCATGTGTAACATTAACTGACGCCAGTGCAGTGACTTTCAAACTTTTTTTATCTCAAGACCCAGTTGAAGAACATTTTTGAAGCCTGCGACCCAACATAATTTGATTAGAGCGTGGGCTGCAGATGAGAGCTTTGGGTGTAGGAGGGGGCTCTGGCGTGTGTGTGTGTGTGTGTGTGGGGGGGGGTCAGGGCTGGGGCAGGAGGGGCTTACCTTGAGCAGCTCCCAGTCAGCGGTGCAGCGGGGGTGCTAAGGCAGCTTCCTGCCTCTTTTGGCACTGCAGACCATGCTGCCCACCAGAAGCAGGTATCCAGCCAATGGGAGTGCAGTGCTTGTGTTCAGGGCAGGGGCAGTGCACGAGCCCTGTGCACTCTTTTCTCTCTCTCCCCCGCGCTCTCCCCTGCCCTCACACACTTACGAGCAGGGCCTGCTGCTTCTAGGGTGCAGCGCAGTCTGCAGTGCAGGACAGACAGGTAGCTGCCTTAGCACCCCCACTGGTCACCTGATCACCCTGCAGCAACGAGACCCAGTGCCTGACATTCCATGATCCAGTACTAGGTTGCAACCCGTTGATTGAAAACCACCACTCTAGTGCACTCATTTCATACGTATCAATGGAAAGCACAGTAGGAATTTTAAACACTTTTTCCTTGTCATGAAATTCATTTTTATACATGGAGTTGTGATTAAAAGACAAAATGTAGCCTTCTTCTCCGACTAGTTTCATTCATTCAGGCCCACAGATTCTAAACTTGGCTTTAGTTTAACCAGTTGTCATCATATCCAAATAGCTATCAAATAACAGAGCAGTAAAGTTTTAGTCTAGCACAGGATGTCCTCTGACATCTGTGGCTGAAAAGCACAAGTGTTAAGCACTATTATTAATCACCTCCAACTTCTGGGTGAGTGAAGAGATTTGCAAAGGAATGTGGCCTTTGGACCTTTATAAGGTCAAGATGCATCTGACAGAATAGAACTATCCAATGATACCCGCCATAATGCCGTTAAATGGGCTTTGATAGAGGCTGGTGTGGCAGTATGGACCAAAATCATATTAGTAAGAAACACTATTTTAAAAGTCGAGGCTAAACATGTAGATGAAGTAAATGTAACTGTTCAGCTCTTCCTTTTCTGTAGCTTATATATTTTTGATTCTTTAACCATAATTCACTATTTTAGGTCTTTAAAAACTAACTTTCATAGCTTTGGATGGGAAAAACATTTTTTTTTAAACTTCTTCTACCTAGATTTTTCTTTTAATTCCTACATGCGGCATTTTTTGGCCTTCAAATCTTTCTCCTATAAAGTATTTTGATTAAGAATGTGGCTAGATGAACCAATTACTGTACTTTAAATAAAAATATCTATGTAGTTTGCATGCAGCAGACTAAGATCATCTTTGTGTGTTTTAATGTGCAAATGTGAGTTATTCACTGTTGTTAATAGCTACGTAATACTGTGCCTGGCTTCATACTCTGGCTTGTGAGTGCGTAGATCACTACTGCGGTCTCTTATGCCATTATTTAAAATTGGGCATAACTGTCCATAGGGATAAGAACAGGTATAAAAAATACTGCCAATATATAACTGATACAAAAAATAAATTGTCCTATTCTTTGCCATGCCTCTCCCTCCCCTCCAGACACTATCCAATACTTAGGACTTGCAGGACACTTGATATGATGAGTAATTTGTGTAAAACAAAGGCACAATGCGGGTGGTGGTTGTTTCCTTTAAATCCACAACAGCAAGGTGAATTTAAGGGAGATCTTGTTTTTATCATTAAGCCATCAAATGCCAACTTTTTTTTTTCTTCAGCGTCTAGCATTGCATGCTGATTTGTGCTTGCATCCATTAGAACAGTGGGTCTCAAACTTTTTAGACCTGGCTCAATGCAAACCTTTCCATGGGCCACCAGTTGCTAATGGAAACTCACCGTTTATTAGATAGTTATACCCGCGCCTTTTGCTAGTGGTGCAGCTTGAGAGAATGGTTTAATTTAACCGGTAAGAAAGAAAGAAAATATTAAATTATTAAACAGATTAAGAGGTTGAACTTTCTCATATTAGCTTACCTAACTTCATTTTAAGTCTCTCTCTATATTATTTTTCTGCTGCATGACAGAATGATGCCATCAGGCTCTCTAGCTGCAAAAGTGGTCAGAGAAAGGGGGAGTTGGTGAGTGTCGTGAGCAGGGGGCAGCTCCCTAGTAAAGTAAAACATGAATTTATGTCCAACCCAAAAGGTTTCAATGTTTTATTTCTTTATGGCAGGGGAGGACATTTTTTTTTGGATTGGGGCCACCGACCCACAGAAAAATCAGTTGGGGACCACACAAGTTAGAAGCAAGAAAACCCCGTAACCCTCATTAATGTGGCCCCCAGCTGAGAAACTTCACTCCTCTGGCTCTCCAACCCCATGAGGCGAGAGGGAGGGTCAGGGAGGACTGAGAGTCAGGGCTTCCTATGAACCGGATTTACTCTTTCAGGTTTTGGGGTTAGTGGGTTTTGTGGACCCCCTAGGCTCTGGGGTGGGGCAAAAGTGAAGGGTTCAGTGTGTGGAACAGGGCTGCCAGCGAGTGGGATAGGAATGAGCATGCAGGATCTGGGAGGGAAATGGGGTGCAGGAGCAGGCTGGGAGTAGGGTGGCTGGCCAGGGAGGAGGGGGCAAGAGCAAGGGAAGGTGCAGTGTGTGGCCAGGAGGAAGGGTGTGTGGCCAAGGGAGAAGACGTGGGAATGTGCTGGGACCGTGGGGGTCTCGGTTGGGGCGGTGTGGGAGCACGGTAGGGTGTGTGGTCTGGGCATGAGGGGGAGCGGGGCGCTTACTTGCTTTCATACCCTGCTTCCAGGCATTGTCTCAGGCACGGCCTCCTGCTGCTCCCATTGTGCGGATTCCAGCCAATTGGAGCAGCAGGGAAAGCCTCCAGGCCGCGCGTCAGCCACTGTTGCTGTTTCCCCCGCCATGGGAGAGGGAGCAGCAGCACACGGAGCCACTTCTGGATCTGCTTTTCTCTGCTTCTGCCTCCGGTGGGGAGGCTTGGGGCTCCCTCCCACCCCCAAGGAAGCCATTGCTGGTGCTCCCACTTCACAGGGGGTGCGGGTACAATGGGGTGTGGGTACAAGGTGGGAGACCCAGCATGGGCTCCCTGCTGCGGGGGAAGAGAGGGAGGAGGGTATGCTGAGCTCAAGCCACGGGCCACCTGGAAGGTGGCTGGACTGCAGTTTTGAGAACCATGGCATTAGAAGTACAAATTGCATAGAAGCAATTGAGATTACTGTGTTCCTTAATGAGACGTGTGTTCAAAAGTATTTAAAATATCAGTGCAGTCTGATCAGTTAATATTGTTCCTAGCTAGAAATTTACTTTCAGAATACTGAAATATATAAAATATACACATATTTAGAAGTGTACAATCATTTATACAGACTCTTATCACATTTTTCTAGATACTTTGGCCAGTAACAAGTTGTTTTTTTTAAGTTGCTGTTTGTTAAATGTTCTGTGTCTACAGTAAAATGCTCTAAATTGTCTGTATTGCCGCCATTTTTTTGTGCAAACTGACTTCACGTTTCAGTTCAGACCCCAGGGCTGGAAGCTGTCAGAGCAGCTTGCAAGATCGGGGTCCAAGTCAGCAAATGACTACTTAACGCAGGCTTAATGCATAACTTGCCTTCACTGTTACAACGGTCTTAATTTTTTTTTTAGCAGTGTGACATCACAATAATGATGATTCTCTGGTCAGTCCTCTTCTAAGAGCACGCCACATACCTGAATTTGGTGGTTCTAGCTCTTAACGTTTAAGAGTTCGTGATCAAACAGACAAATTCTTTAAAATATACCTATATACTTTAGAGATTTGTTTGCGAGTCAGTTTTTGTTCAAGAACTCCCCCTAAATGGGAAGAGCTAGGACAACCAAATTTGATATGCCCCTTGGTCTTATCTGAACTTAAAGCAACATAAGGGTTTGGTTGTGTCAGGAAAATGGGATGTTCCTGGAATTCGATTATTTTCCATAGCATGGAAAGGGACGGGGCTGAGCAGAGGAAGGCTATACTAATAGTCACCACTGGGGACAGCAAGCACAGGGGACAGCTATATTGCAAAGTGACCACTGGGGCAGCTACACCACCAAAAAAGTGGCCGGGTGGGGATGGGACTCACCATCTTGCCTGCCATAGGCCCAGATTAGAGGTGCCCCCCCTCCCCTGAGCCCTGGCCCCTGCATTGCTTATTACCCTCGCTCCTGCCAAAGGAGCCACAACCTGTCCCCTCCAGTCTGGCCTGTATAGCCTCATCCCTTCCCCCGGGACCTGGCAATGCTGGGTAAGTCTTCTAGTAGTAAATATTTGAAAACATTTTGTAATTGGCTAGTTTCACTGAGTCCCTTGTATCAAACTCTGTTACCATATTGTTTGATTGGCTTTTTCACCTGGAAGAGAGATCCTGTTTTTAAAAAGAGTATGAATGTTCAATGACAAGATTTGGAAGGGTAACTTAGGAGTTCTTTCAAGTAATACACAGTCCATCCTAACTCTTAAACTTACTGGACTTTAAGTTGTGGTCCTTATGATATGTCTATAGTATTAGAACAAATAGCGTGGACCTTGCTTGTACTGATTCCTCTCTTCCCCCCCGCCCCATAACTTTTTACTGTAACATAGCTCTTGTCAGTAAATTCTGAGTGTGCCTGTGGTACGACTGTCTTTGGAAGTGGGATGTGTGGAAATTGTTTGCAGACATGGTCATTATATGCTGTAAAAGGATGCTGTGAGTACTGTAGTTTAAACCCAGCCCTTGTGTGTCTGCACTATTTTTAACAAAACCCGAGTATAATGGACTCTTCCTTTAAAAGCAGAAAGAAATAAGTTTAAATATCCCCTTGCTCTTTGAAACATAACACACAGTCTCATTGCTGCATGAGAAGGAAGTGAAACTGACTCAACAGACCAGAGGAGTTTCTTTGGCCAGCTGAGAAGTGTAAAATATAACCTTGCTGTAATGTTCATCTGAATTGTCTTCCCAAAGCACTCTGGTTATACATAGCATTTAAGTGGCATTGCAAGTATATCCGGAGTGGAGGGTGGCAGCCAAGCAACCTGCTTCCCCAGTGGTACGTGGGAGGGGAGAGTTTGGTCAAGGACATTGGATCAGAGCCTTCTGTTATAAGTGCCCTGGGATCCAGGCATAGCAGATAGTTCCTCAGTTTTTAATGTCTTATACCAAAGTGTTGGAAAACGTAACTGAAGCTGTCATGATTTTAAATACTTTGGTTCCACTTCTGGTTCTAGCTATATCAGATCTGCTACTTGAAGTCTGTTATCTACATTGCTGCTAGCAGTGTGATTGTTGCAGCGCTGATGTTGGCTTGAGCTAGCCACTTGAACTCAGATCCAAGGCATCATGCAGGCTTGGACTTTCTCAGCTAGCTTGAGCCACCGCCAGTGCTGCAACAGCCACACTGCTGTTTTTGGTGTGCTAGCTTAAGTTGAGCTAGTCTGCCTGCCTGCTCTGGGAATTGCACCTTATAGCTGCAATGTAGACATACCCCAAGTCAGCTCCTTCAGTGCATATAGCAGAGCCAGTATTCTGGGTGACACATTAGCTAGATTTTTAACTATTTCAGTTCTAAGTCTGTTTGTTTCAACTGTACAAGCAATCAGTATGGAAAAATATCTCTTATAAAAGCTAACAAATCTGTGCCTTGGAATGTAAACTAATGGCTGGATTTATGAACACTAACATCCATCCAATAACTCATTTGTTGCCTTCTGTTCAAATAACTTAAAATACCGACTTGGTCAGTAACTGGACCTTGCCTCCAGCTGCTTCTGTAACGTGGTTTTCTGGGTCATTGTTCTGTCCTTTAAAAGCAAAAAAACCTCAGTCCAGGGATAAACTGTTGAGCTCACTTGTTGAACATGTCTTACCTGCTGCTGCTTGCAAAGCGGTGTTTCTCCACTTCGTGTTGGTTACATCGCAAGCATGAGGTGAACATGCTCGTTTTATTTTAATAAGAGAAATAGACAAATGACTCTTCGTCTCTTTATGTTGCTTTAAAACACTTTTATAAGAGTAAGGCTGCTGTATCTTCCCATCTGCCATAGTATGAGATTAATAGTACAGAGGAAACTCTCCATGTTGGCAGACTGACCTGGAATATGATATAACTAAATTTTTACCCTTGGATTATGTGACATGGAAATATCTCCTTCCTGTTTAGGAGGAAGCAAAACAGTTGTTGAATCAACAGAAATCTGGCTCTCGCTCAGACTCGCGTGAGGAGGAAGTCTCTCCTCCTCCGCCTATGAACCCTGTGGTTAAGGGCCGAACAAGGCGTGGGGCCATCAGTGCAGAAGTCTACACAGAAGAGGATGCTGCGTCTTACGTTAGAAAGGTCACTTACTCTTTAACTATTTCCCAAACTCCTGCAAATCTGAATCTATTATCCAGGTGCCATATTCTTGCTGTCCTCAGTGGAAAAACCCCGTTTATGGGCCCATGGTGTTACATAAATGCATATACCATACTATTGTTGCTTTGTGCATGATTGCTGGATAGTACCCACCTGATGTGGCCTTGCTAACCCACATGGTAGGTCTTCAGAGCCATAGAGAGTGGATTCCTCTAGGACCTGGGGGTGTGCAGTTCTATGCTCTGCTCCACCCCTACCTGGCCCCTTCCCCCCCAAGTCCCCGCCTCTGCCCTGCCTCTTTCTGTTCCCATTCCACCTCAGCTCCTGCGTCTACCCTTTTCCCCAAGTCCTGGCCCTCT